GGTCGTGAGGGATCGAGGGAGCCTACAGACGGAACTGGTAGTGCTCTAGGGTCCGACCTAAAGTAGAAAGGAATTCGATTACAAGCGCGAGCTACGACGTTTGGAGCAGGTACATTATCCACCAATTACGGCGGATGTCACAACATCTTAGTTGACTCAACTTGGATTTGTGATTTTGAAAAATTCCTTCGGGACTTTGCTCGGATAATTTGTAATTTTTTCTCATATGAGTTTTTAAGCGATGGTACATGTATAGCCATTCCAAAAATGAATGCTAATTATTAGCATTCATTTTTGGCGGAAATATCATGCATTCAGAATTAAATTGGGGAAGTGTTTTAGATAACGTTCTGCTGTTTTAGCTCTGCAGAAAGTCAAAACATATATTTTTCAGGACCGGTTAGGAAATATGCTTACCGGTATTGCCTCCCGGGTAATTTCCATCCAGCTGTTTCGGGCTAGTATTAGTTCTATCACACTTATCAATCTTCCATATTGGCGTCATGCCATTGTGGAATAAATGGACAATAATAATTCACTCGGATACTGAGCCAGAATATAATATAATTAATGGAAACGAGTTATGAAGCAACTATCCACGACTGTAACAAGATAATAAGCAGTCAGAAAGTGCGATAACAGGGCACAAAACTGACAGGATACTGCGACATTCAACAGCGACCTAGCTTTCACACATCTCCAGAGTGCAAACCCACAGCCTTCCGGCTTGGGAGCTTCAAGGTTATGGTAGGACCAATGGGGGGGGGGGGGGGGGGGGGGGAAGGTGAGTGCAGCGAAAATACAAGCTGCAAGGCTGTGGGTTTGCGCCCTGGAGATGTGTGAGATCTAGGCGTCTGTTGAATGTCGCAGTATCCTGTCAGTTTTGTGACCTTTTATTGCACTTTCTGACTGCTTATTATTTGTTACAGTCGTGGATAGTTGCTTCATAACTCGTCAGTCCCATGCGATTCCTTTTATTTTCATATTAGCACCATGTCCCTCACACACTCATACTCAGCCCAAGGCAACAAGGAATTGTTTTGGAGATATTAGGGACGTTTAGCAATGCGAAAATTTGAACTTTTGGTGGTGGCGATATTTCGCGAAAATCTATTTCGAAAAAGAAAACTTGTGAGGTTTAGCAAGGCGAAACGACTTTTTCTCGAAGCTATTTGAATCTTATAGTACCGTACCGTATATGCAGCTCAGTCTCAAGCAGGGGGCTGTAAAATTACTACTCCCTGTAGTGAAATGCGTACCGAGAAAAGAGAACGTTACTTTCGCAAATCACTGCAACTTCGCATCCAAGTTTTCGAAGTTTCGACCTTTGTTTCTGTACTCATTCCCAGACTCGAATTTTCTTTCGAACTTTCGCATTGCTAAACATCCTTAGTAGGGAGGTTTCGCTCTACGGAATTACGTATGAAAATAACGTAGGAACTGCACGGAATTTTCATACGTAAAAATCAGAGCTGTTGGGTTTCGCTCTACGTGATTTCTCCACGACTGCTAAACATGCCGTGTTGCTTTGGAGACGCGTTGGCTGCATGCGCCCGCCACATGCACCATGAACCGAAACCGCGTTTCCCTTTTTATTTTGCACGTGGTGTACGGTATGTGTACCTTGTGTGTCGCGCGGCTTGAACGTTGCCATGGACAAATGCGGAAAATGCGAAAAAATATTTCAAAAAGTCCTACGGAGGACCAAACGTAGGAAACAGCTTTCCTACGGAGATCCGTAGAGAGATTTACGTACGAAAGTTGCCCTCGCTCCCCCGCGCGTACGACGTACGGATTTTCATACGTAATTACGTAGAGCGAAACCTCCCTAATGTGCTGCTTCGAGTGACGTATTTTACCGGTTGTAAGTCGACCCCGGTTATAGGTCGACCCCCGTATCCGGAGGTCTCGATTCTGCGTTTTAAAGTTTTCACCCAAAGAAGCACTGCTAACCACTCCCTGCTATTAACGCATCAACAAATCATGTAAACATTCCTTATTGGAGGTTATAACATCCCAATCCTTGAAAAGACCAATAAACTGGAAAAAATGTTTAAACATGGTGCACTCGTGCATGCAGTGCAGGTCATATTTTTTGAAGATTCTGATAGTTCCCGGTTATAAGTCGAATCCCGGTTGTAAGTCGACCCCCACCCTTTCTCCTTCTATTTTGAGACGTAAAAGGTCGACTTACAACCGGAAAAATACGGTAACTGGTCTTGTAATGCAAAAGCTCGAAGAGCTGGAAAGCAATGCCAGGCCACTGGCAGCAACTAGCTCGCAAGGAGCCGCAAAAAAACCACATTGTGCCACAATGGGGTTGCAAGGCAAAGCCAATGCAATTGACAACAACTGGCTCGTGAAGAGCCGCAACTAGCGAAGCAAATGACCAGTTAGGAGCGATATAGCTAAATGTTCCCTCGTACCATTAGCAAGATGATAAGATGGGAGGGATGGAAGGTGAAAATTTGATGCTGGCACAAGCTAAAAGTCACCACTAATTAGACTTTGAAGTGAAGAAAACAGCAAGAAAGAAAGAGAAAGTTCAAAGGAAGCAGTTGTATGACGTCAGGCTAAGCGCGCCCAAATCCATGCGTTGGCAGTGTGAGTGCAGTGAGCAAAAGTTCAAAGGAAGCAGTTGTGTGACGTCAGGCTAAGCGTGCCCAAATCTATGCGCTGGCAGTGTGAGTGCAGTGCGCAATGCACTGATGCAGCGGTGCGTGGCAGATGCAAACAGGGCAGTGTGATCGGTGGATGGTAACACACACTAACTACATTACTGCGATATTAGCACCATATCCCTCACACACTCATACTCAGCCCAAGGCAACAAGGAATTGTTTTGGAGATAGTGTGCTGCTTTGAGTAACTGGTCTTGTTATGCAAAAGCTCGAACAGCTGGAAAGCAATGCCAGGCCACTGGCAGCAACTGGCTCGCGAGGAGCCACAATAAACCCACATCGTGCCACAATGGGGTTGCAAGGCAAAGCCAATTCAATTGGCAACAACTGGCTCGTGAAGAGCCGCAACTAGCGAAGAAATGACCAGTTAGGAGTGATAGAGCTCCACAGAGCAGCAACACTATCCCCGAACACCCCCCAGCACTAAGAAATTATCGAGCAGTGACATTCCTATGCTAGGACTTCAGGGATGGAACATAAACTGTCCGTGCAAAGAATCAGATAAGGTCACTCACTGAGGCAAGCTGAACCGAGATCTTGGCCTTGGTCTCCATCGGAATTCGCATATAGCATAGACACACATCGCTCTGCCACCTGCCGGCAGAACGAATCAGCGAATCGGGTATCCCTGCCATGGAAGCGGTAGTAGCTGCGCCAATTCGGAATGAGTGTCCCGAGTAGAGTTCGATGTTGGTCACTTGGTGCTTACCAAACGAAGCAGCATTACGGAGGCTATGCAAACAGTGCATTTCGAGGGCACACACTCGGCACATGCCACAAGCCGTGCCCCGCCGCCAAAGCCATCGTTCTATATCAACCCGAGCAGAGATGCACAGGTATGAACTGTAGCGGACATAGAAGTCCAGCGAGAAGTCAAGCGGCCACGGGGCGCTGGCCTTGCAGCCGTGAGCACTGCTGGTCCATTTTTACAATTTGTGCAGAAACTACAGTGCATGACGAGTGCATACAGTGAATGAACGCGCTCAATAAAAAAGGAAAAGAAAGGGCAATGGCGCCGGTCATCCGATCGGATTTCCATGTCCACGGTAGTAGATGTATAAACACACACCGTTGCCATGGTAGTAAAAAAACCCATTCAACTCCAACAGCAGATTCGAAAAAGAACCAAACATTTGACTGGTGCTTACCCATCGCCGGCATTCTGCAGTACTCGTCTCTCGGTGGTCATGCATCTCATGACCAGGAGAAGCACATGCATGGGCTGCAGTCCAGTGGCAAGTGGAAGCCAGCGCGGGACACGGCCTGCGCGGCTAACCAGATATGCTGCGGCGGTGAAGAGCTGGCACTGCCACTGGCGGCTGGCTGTTCAATGGCCGGCGTGGTGGGAGTGGAGTGAGACGGGCGACAGCTCAGCAGCGGGCTGGGTGTCGATCCTGCCGCCTGCGATGACATCGCCACTGACGAGAGCGATGTCGTCTTCTTGAACAGCTCCGGCAATGGCACAACGATCGTTTCGCCATATTGTTCATGACGGCTCTTCAGGTGTGCATTTAGAAGTCAGATGGTGAGCCATGGAAAAATTGTAACATGGAGATTGTGGCTACAAGTTGTTGCTTTGCGTTGGTGCTTTGCATTGTCGAATTCTGGTTTGACCGTTCTGTCTGGTCTTGCTGTCCCGTCATCATACCAGGCCAGAATTCCATGAAGCCCTGGATTGTAGCTTGTGCTCGGCTCGATGGTGCTCGCCTTCCCCTCTTTGAAATTAGCACTAATATCCATGAGCCTTCCAAGTTGGAAGGCCGTTGGTTAGCGCTATCGAGCAGTGCTCAAGCTGACTTTCATGCCGTGGAATGTCTCAGTACTCCTTGTCAGTGTTGTGCTAGATTGTGCACGTCTGACTGTTCAAAATCTGGTTTTGTTGGTGGACTCGATCGCGTAACTTGTGCCCACACTTTCCATGTTACCTATTGATTACGTTCGCATTCTCTTGAGGACAGGTTGTGCTTCAAGCAAACAAACAAACAAACAAACAAACAAACCAACGAACAAACCAACGAACCAACAAACAAACAAACAAACAAACAACCCAACAAACAAACCAACAAACCAACAAACAAACTAACTAACCAACAAACTAACTAACATACAAACACCGAAGAAAGACACACACCATACAACAACATCACCGGAAGGGAATAAATTTATGCCATGAAATTTGAAATCACTCATACCAAACCGTGTTTAATTGCAGTCTGGTGATGTTTGCAGCTCATTTACTCTTCCGAGCTCTATCTATATTGTCTTCACATGTGTCGTTTTGAAACGAGAGTGCATGGTGTATTCATGTGTTGCGTTCAGGTCCTTTCAATATGAATGTTAAATGCGCTGAAAACTTCCACATCCGGATGGGCGTTGCAGGAACATATAATGCATATGACTTCTGCACACATTTCAAGATGGACATACTGAATAAACCTCAGCAAAAAAAGCTTCAACACTGCTACCTGGTAAGATGGAAGAAGATGTGTTTCCGACTTTGCATATCTGGCAACAGTGCCTTACACACTGAAAATTCTCCAGCAAAAATGATCAATAAGTTGACAATAACTCTGCCGGAATAGGTTTACCCCATTCCACAGGATGTCACCTACAGGTGTAACTCACAAGTTGATGAATGATTTACCTGCGTGGTTTAAAAGTGGGTGAAAAAGTATTTGCACAATGTTATCTACCGACTTCTACCAGCCTCAGATCTGGTAGAGCCAGCAGAGGCAGTAGAGGAAAGTGGAATGCGCCATTTGGGATAGTAACATAATGTGACTACATCTAGCAGAAAAAAGAGTCTGTACCGAAAACTGTAGATCAAAAAAAGAACTCCGAACCATGACCATCCATGAATTGCCCCTCCCCAAAAGTAATAGTACTTATAGAGCGACTTTACTGTGCTTGGTAAACCAAAGCTCTGTCAAGAAAAGGACCAAGGAACTAGCAACTGATGGTGCTAGTGGACATTATAGCGTAACTTGTACAATCAGTATCGCCTGAAGCGTTGGTCTTTGATTGTGAGCAATTTATCACTATAAGCGATACACTATGACCGATACTGCATGTACTCTATGCGAGTGCGGTATCAAAAAGACACAGCGCACCACCGTACACACACACACACTGCATAGTTGGTTGCATCGTACATCCTGTGTACTCCTACTGTGAGAAATCAGCACCCTAGCATGCCTGTGCAGCAAAGGCTCCTGACACACAACGTCAGCATATCCTCACAATGAAGGCATTTTGGACAATTAATACTGCAAGTAGAACTGACAAAATAACACTGGGCAAATTTTTCACAAAAAAGTAACTTCCTGTTCGCCTCTAACGCCATTTGATTTCACATCAATTACTTTTACCGATGCAAAAATGATGTTACAGAGGTCTTTTGAAAAATAAATTTGATCCCTACAGGCGATTATATTACTATAGACGATTATTTCTATACGAGGCAACTGTGTATACTTCGATATGGCAAATGAAAATGAATTTGAGAAGTTGATCACTATGGCCGCCAACCATATAGGATATACATATTGTAGTTCCTTAGTCCTTTTTCTTTTCTCTAAATGTATCCTTGGCTCTCCATTTGAGTCAAAACTCTGCCATTCTGCCGAGTGTCAACATAGGATTGCTCACTCGGGAATGGCTTAATCATAATTGTTCATATGTTGTGGTATTCTTCTCATGTATTGCAGCCTGCACTTCGCAATGCAAAATACCAGCACTACCAGTATGTTGGCACACTAAGAGCCGGCAGAAAAACTCGCAGGAGGATGTTTTTGCATAGCATTGCTTCTGGAGAGAAAATTGTTGCACCAATGTGGAACAAAGCTGCCCGTATTTGTGCAAGTAAGTAGTACGGTTGTGCCGCCATGCACCCAATACTGTATCCCAAACGTGATTTTAGTCATGCTAGCTCTGCAAGAATTCATGCCTGCCCTTCAGCCCGTGCCACGCATACCTAACACGCTGCTGATCCTGTTGAAAGATGAACTGAGATCACATGACATCAGATCACATGACATCAGATCACATGACATTAGATCACATGACGTCACATAACATGACATCACATAACATGACATCATATAACATGACATCACATAACATGACATCACATAACATGACATCAGTTCGCATGACATCTAATCGCATGAAAGCAGAACGCTCGAAATCAAATCGCATCATGCCATGAAAGCCGAACGCTTGACATCAAATCACATAAAATCAGAAGGCTCGACATTGAATCGCATAATATGGTACTCGCACGATTAGTGCCTCTGGGGCGCTATCTTTTTCAATGTCTATCACGGATGGGGTATTATTCAAGAGAGGGCACAATTTAAGACGGGGCACTCTTCAAGTGAGGGCACTTTTCAAGAGAGTGGTAGCAGTAGATGAATGTGGCAGCTGTGTGTTCGTGTGGACAAAAAAGGTGAGTGCGTATTATTTGAAGAGTGTGAGTGCTACAACATTTTCTTTCTGCTTGCATAGCACAGGGTCAAGTGTACAAATATAAACAGCTTCCAGCACCTGCATCTGCTTAACCCTTTACCATCCATGCGTACTTGAATCGATCTCTAGAGATCGATGAACTCGCACCAAAAGGCGCATCGTAACTCAGGAACCGTTCACCGTAGAACGCTGAGACTTCGCATGAGACTCCCCAGGATACAGACCATCGTCCTAACGGCGCAAAAGAGGGGTCTTCCCACTCAATGTTATCGCGAAAATCGAGCTTGAAGTTATGCGAAAAAATAAGTACAGTGAAAAAGTCGAAATTTATTTGAGTGAGTATACGATGAATGCAGGCGAGGCTTTGGAGTTCCTCAATCGACTTGACGATGGAAACTGCTCCGACACCTGCCTCGAGTCAAGCGACGACTATGAGAACAGTGATGAGTCGGAGTTTGACGAGGTAGTCGCCACTGAAAGCGTCGACGATGACGACGCAGTTGAAAATTTTGTAAAATATGATACGTCCGCAACTGCGAACCCAACTGACAGCGAAGACGATATCAGTTCGGCTGAAGATGATGAGGAAAGGCCCACAGGTCGACGGACACCTGCCAGGCGCGGACGTGGACGTGTTCATGGTCGTGGTCGTGGTCGTGGTGTTGGTCGTGGACGTGGTGTTGGGAGAGCCAGAGGACGTGGACGAGGAGCGCAACATGTGGCAGATGCCACAGCTGCTGCTGTCGACACTTCATCTTGGAGCGATGGGGACGATGCTGAAAATCATGGGCGTAGGAACGGGTCCCGGCAGGCCCGGCGGTCGCCGGACCAATAATTTTCGAATTATTATTATTTTTTTTTAAAGATTTCAACCTTGTTGATGACTTGTCGACTCTTGTACAGGTACCATGTTTTACATCGACAATGCTGTGTCATCAGCATGCATATTCTTATTTTTCATATTATTCTGTAGCATAATATGGCCTTTCAGGCCCAATTTTCAAAAAAATCCAGGGGGAAGACCCCTGACCCCCCTCCCTCTCACAGTTTAGCCGCACCAATATTAAACTGCTTCCTACGCCCCTGAAATGCTGGTGTGTTGCCAAACTTTCACCCTGCCCCGAGAACCAGGTGCTCACTTACCTGGTGGCGTGGCCTATTTGAAAGAGTTGGATGTTTTCCAGCTGTATTTCGGGGACGCTGAGCTGGAGAAAATTGCTGACGCTACAAACGAGTATGCTTGGATGAACATTGCAGTCTATCCCTGTTATGACGATAAATATGGAGGGTGGATCGAGTGCACAGCGGGTGAGATCAAACGACTTATTGGACTTCTATCGTACATGAGCCTGGTGAAATTGCCGTTTCATGGGACATGGGCGCGTTCATTCATCCCTACCTCTGTATGCCAAAAATGGACGAGTCTGGCATCACCGACTGCGTGTCGTCCTTTGTTGTTCTTTTTGTTGTTGTCTTGCTCGCTGTGTTGTTCTCTCTCTGCTCAGTTCGGTGCTTGTTCAGTTGTTGCTGTGTTGTTGATTTTTTTTGGCGTTGTTCTGTTCCTCTTCTCGTCGTTCTGTTGCTCTTCTTGTCGTTCTGTTCCGCATGGTTTTGTTAAGTAGATGTATTTTGCACCGGTCTGTGGTCAGTTTTTGTTTTGCTGCTGCTGAGGCGCGAAGGATCCTGGATGCAAGAATTGCGGAGACGGCATGATTGGTCGTGGGTGTCTGTGGGGTCTTGCTCCGAGGAACGTGAAGGCCTGTTGCATGCACACAGTTAATTCTATACTTGTTTCCAGTTGCATTTTTTGATTTTAGTGTTTTTGGTTTGGCCCTGTGTCGTGGCCTGGTTGTAGAGCGTCGGCTCTGGGTTTTTGGTTGGCCTTGTGTCGTGGCCCGTTTTTCTTTAGAGCGTCGGCTCTGGGTTCTGTTGGCTTGTTGTTAGCTTGTTGTGCTACAATGCAAGCTGGGTTTGGTTTTTTTTGCTGTAGTGCATGTGCAACGTGGTGTTGGTTCATTATTTTGTGGAATGTCATCAAGGGGGCAGGTGTTGTGAAATGATGTGTTGTTTTCCTGTGTGATCGCATTTCCCAAACTGTCTCGTTTAGCCGCGTGCATGTGTGATATGACCATGCGCAATTTTGTAGTCGAGGATCCCTTTGTCAGTCTTCTTGTTCGTCTCTTTCAGTGTAGTTTTCATTTCCGTCTTGTCAATAATAAAATGTAAAACAATCTAGTCTTGTCCGTTGTGTCCTGCGTCCTGGGAAATGGAAAGGCTGTGATTCCGTAACATGATTGAGTGAAGTGATTAAGGTACATTGAAAGAATATAGAATGTACGTTCGCCAAGGTAACATTCGAGGGATTATTCGTTCGAAGTAAATACCATTTGTTGCATCACTACTATTTTTTCAATGCTGGTGCATTTGAGTCCTCCAGAATAAAAAAAAACGAAGAAAATTGAGCCTCAACTCTACTGTAATCTATCATGACTCAGCAGAAACTGTAACAAGAACTTCGATTTTGATCCTGAAACCACCAGTGTTTATCGCCTGGACAAGATTATTAGGAAAACAACGCCAAACTTGCATATGCGCTTGGTTACAGACCCGAGGGGGGGGGCACTATAAGAGAGAGGGCTTTCTTTTTGATCGGCACTCAGAGACTGGGGCACTGTTCGAGAGAGGGCTCTAATCCCGACAGTACAGTAAAAGCAGATTTCACGACATCAAATCTCGTGAAAGCAGATTTCACGACATCAAATCGCTGCAGATAGCACGACATCAAATCGCATGACATCAGTTCGCACTGCATCAAATCACATGAAAGCAGATCACACGACACTACGTCGCATGACAATTTGAAAAGCAGATCGCACTGCATCAAATCGCATGAGAGCAGATTTCACGACATCGAATCGCATGACATCAGTTCGCACTCAGGGTTGGTGAGCTGCCGGATTGACAACTGAGTAGCTGCGGTGGTATGCAGGGTGAATGTATCTAGTGATTCCAGACTACAGTCACATCACATCATTTGGGTGAGAGGAGTTTGATGTGTTTCGAAGCACCTACCATTACCATCAAATCTCATGAAAGCAGATCACATGACTTTGCATCACATTACAATTTGAAAACCGATCGCACGACATCAAATCTCAGGAAAGCAGATCACACGACAATGCATCGCATGACAATTTGAAAACAGATCGCACGACATCAAATCGCATGAAAGAAGATCACACAACACCGTTGCTCGTTTCTATGTGTGATCTGAACACCCTTGAGTCTTTTCACATAATTATATGCTGTGTTTCTACAATGGAAGATCTGTCTTCATTCCTCAAGACTATAAGTAACTTCTCCTCGCTATGGTGAGGCCTGTTGGTTGTTGCTGTGTGCCCAACAACTTGGACAATGCTACACATGTATATCGTGTTTGGCTCAATGCAGGGAAAAACAATACTGGAGCGTTTAAAGACCAAAGCATATTCTGCCCGTCAACTGTGACCGTCCTGAGAAGAGCATATGAAAAGTTGGATTATAATAGAGCTGTGGCCCTGTGTGCCAAGAATAACGGCAAACTACTGGGCACGAGGGCACATACGGATCGTTGTGCAAAGCGTTTTATCAAGAAAGGAAAAAAACAAACAGCGGCTTGGATATATTCTTCCAAGTGGGCAGACGCTAAACGCGTCTACGATCTCTCTACATACCCGAAGGATGACAACACACATCTCATCACCATCTGTGAATACCGTGAGTTACTTATTTTGTACATTCATCTCTCATATCCTTTTTTTTAATTAAGGGGGCAATTTACACAAGCGCAGGATTTCTCCCGTGCGATGGCATAACAAAAGCCTGTATAGCTGATATTTTAATTTTCACGCATTCCAGCCACCATCAGCCTGATCTATTTCAGTATTCAGAAGTCCACCCTTGTATACGGAAGCAACGGATATTTTTTTACTGTTAACGCAAGATTCTTGACTGAAGTGTCAGGTCAGTCGACAGGAAACGCGAGCTCCGATGTTTGGAGAAGGCACATTATCCGCCAATTACTGCGTATGTCGCAGCGTCTTAGTTGACTCAAATTTGATTTGTGATTTTTGAAAAATTCCTTCAGGACTGTGCCCGGCTAATTGTTTTTTTTTCTCGTATGAGTTTTTCATTTTTGGCGGAAAAAACTTTGCATTCAGAAGCAAATTGGGGAAGTGTTTTGAATAATCCAAAAAAAATAGATCTCATGACATCAAATCGAATGAAAGCAGATCACCCGACATGAAATCGCATGATATCAGGTCGCGCATCAATGGCGTGATCAGATCACATACTAGTTATTGGTTAAGTCGGCCTCACTGCAGGGAAAATGTACAAAGCAATAATTATTACAACTCGTATGGAGAGCCAAGGATTTTAAAATTACAAAATAGTGGTTGCGACTTCGGCTATGATTTTTTAGGAAAGGGTTTGCTCCCACACTGGAGCTCGCGCTATTCCGCCGACTTGACTTGACACTTGACTGACTCAAGACTGCCATCCAGAGCACACGAGAAGTCCATCGAACCTTCGACTCTGCAAACCTGCAAGAACGCTTCACTCCCTGCTCAATACACAGTGTTTCGGGAGAATAGCGCGAGCTCCAGTGTGGGAGCAAGCCCGTTCCTAAAAAGATTTTATCATGATTTTAGAATCAACTCGTAAAAACTCCAAGTCAATCTCCCATTGACACAAACCTCGTTTATTCAACATAATCATATCCTATCCAATAAAAACAGTTCATAAAAACAGCTTTTTAGGATCGGACCCAGTCCGCATAACCAAGAGAGCTAGTTCCCTTGGCTGCTGTTAGGATATGCAAGAATTGGCCTCCCAGATAAGGTCTAACAAGGAGAAGTGGCTATAGTTGTGAATGACCACCGGTAACCATGGAGACAGACCACACTCTCATTATAGATACTGGTTATGAATAGACCGAATAAGGAAAATGATCTGATAGCCTATGAAGAGTAAAAGAAATTGAACCAATGACAACAAATACTCTTCCAGCACACGAGTTGTCATAGCAACACAAATAACAGCTGACCACTAATTTTGTTGTTGGAGATTGAGTAGGAGTTTTTACTGGTTGATTCTAAATACAATAAATGCTCCGGCCTTGGGTTTATGACCAATAAAAACTAATTATAAAAACCTCGGGAGACCTTGGTTTTTATAATACTTTTTATTGGTCATAAACCCTCGGCCTCCTCATTTATTGTATACATAAAAAAAGAGAGGACCATAAGTTTGCAAGCTATCCGTTTTGTCCAACACTAACAGTTTTAAGCAGAGTACTGTTGAGTCAAAATGTGCAACAATTAGCACACAACTGACTGATGTGATACTGACATTCAACGGCCTGATGTTTAGCTGCACCCTGTTTGGAATTCTCTCAAGAAAAAAACTAGTAAAGACCTTGTTTTCATCAGCATGGATTACTATCTCCAGAACTGTAAATATGGCTAAAAAAAGAGAGGACCATAAGTTTACAAGTTATCCGTTTTGTCCAACACTGACGATTATAAGCAGGATACCTTTGAGTCAAAATGTGCAACAATTAGCACAAAACTGACTTATGTGATACTAACATCCAACGACCTGATGCTTAGCTGCATCACGTCTGGAATGCGCTAACTAACAGCCTTCCAACTTGGATGGTTTTAAGTTATGAAGTAACGTAAGAAAGGGGAAGGTGAGCGCGCACTCTAGATGAAAACGAGAGAAACATCAGAGCGAACAGAGAATGTTAGGTATGACAAGATGATGACAAAGGATGAAGGACCACGGCACAGGACGGCCACGGCTCACTTCGAAAACGCGAAAGCAATGACCACCCAACTTGGGAGGCTCATGTGATCATAGATAAGCACAATAGGGAAAGTTACGCGATCACGAAGCAAGACAGACCGGACGGCACTATCTCTATCAAGATAACATGAGCCTCCCAAGGCGGGTTGTTGTGCAAGGTACAGGTGCGAGGCACAGGTGCGAGGCATAGGTACGAGGCACAGGTGCGAGGCACAGGTGCGAGGCATAGGTACGAGGCACACGTTTTCGTCAACTTTTCGAGCTTGCAGCATTTCCCTTTTTAGACAGCCCAGCCGGCATCGGGCCGGATTGGAGGTAGTTAGAAAGTATTGATAGACTGATGGTAGTAGTGACAGCTTAGGTAATTTAATTAGTTTTTGGGCACATGCCAGAGCTCTTTGCGATAGGAGACATCCCACAGGACGAGGCCCAGGCGAGGCTGCTTTGTTCTCTCCCAGGAATCAAGCATTCAATCGTGGGAATAGTTCAAACTTTGTCAAACCTTGCCTCAGAGTCCGTCGACAGAGAGGCATGGAGGAGTAGCATGATTCCAGATCTATCTTCAGAAGTAAAAGCCCTGACAGAGGAGTTGATTGCCCTCGACAAGACGACATCAGCCATTGCAGAAAATTCGAAAGCGGCGAGCAGCAGTTGGTCAACGGTTGTCGGAGCGGGAAGCAAAGCTCCATGCAACGTACATCAATGGGCAGGGTATCTGGTGAGCAGTTGCTGACAGATTACTGGCTCTGGCAGTGTCTGGTGGCCAGTCAGATGGCACTGTCCAACTCGACAAGGAATTTTTCCGAGTCAGCATGCGGTGGGCAGTTCTTTAGCCGCTTCTTTGAGTAAGCTATTTAGAACCCCAGGGCTTTTGTTGGTGTCAACTTCGCGAAGGACCTTTTTTTTACCTCAGCTAGAGAAGTCGAGATCTCTTCAAGGGGACTGATAATGGCAGGGGTGGGGTTGATGGCTGGAGGGTGCTCATCTGCATTGACCATGGTCAGCTTGCTCTATGAAATGAAGAATGCATTGAAGGTAGCGGCCTTTTGTGCTGGTGTCGTTGCAGGAGCTGATATTGTTTTGTTTTTTTGAATTTTTGAATTCTTTATTCTCACGATTGCACCATTGACAATAAGAGATAAATTTATGAGAAGGTGAGATGCTGTGGGTGGGGCTGTGGGTTATGCAGTTGGAAAGTGATCTACATCAATTTGAATTTTACAAGTATGGGAGAGGGTGAGCGCTGCAGGAGCAAATTGAGTTAATCAGCAGTGAGCAGATTTCTTGTTTGAAAGCAGGTCGGGAGGAGACGTCACGAATGCTAGCAAGGAGGGCATTGTAGTATTCTAGGGACTTGTACAGTGGGGAGTCTTTACAGCGACCGGTTCTGGAGCGTGGGAGGTGCCAAGTGCGTGCGTGTCTAAGGCTGTACTGAACCGTAACTTGAGCGGGGGTGTTGAGCATGCGTATGTGTTGGGGGCATATTGGTATTTTATGGAGTGGGCAAGAAGGGTGAGCTTCACTTTGCGGTGAGAGAACATTGTCGGCCATCTGAGCCGATGGAGCAGTGTTGAATGATTCAGAGGAGTGTAGAGGGGGAGACGGAGGCAGATTCTGGCCGCTTTGCGCTGGATTTGCTCAAGGACTGCGATTGTGAGTGGGGTGACAGCAATGCATGCATATTCAATTATAGGCAGGATATAGGTTTTGTAAATGAGAGAGAGAGAGAGCGATTTAGTGTGTAGAGTTGATTTGAGCCTAAAGAGAATATTAAAAGATTTTACGGCTTTCTTCAGCAAAATATCAAGGTGGGCTGACCATCTTAGGTGGTGCTGAAAGGTGATGCCGAGGTGACGATGCTGTTTTACTGTTTCTAGTAGGGCTTGCCCAAGTTTTATTTCGGGTAGTCGTGGTGGGGGTCGGTTAGCATGGTAGAACGGGAAGATGACGGTTTTCGTTTTGTTGACTAGCAGGTGCCAGCGCTCTAGCCATTCTGCTGCGGCATCGACGTTTCTTTGTAGCGCAGCCTCACATTCAATTTAGCTGCCTGCAATGGCAATTAGTGCAGTGTCGTCCACGAACTGGCTACACGAGGTTGTAGCATTTTCACAGGCAGTGGGCAGGTCAATGGTGTACGCCATCAACAGAAGTGGTCCCAGGACAGAGCCCTGTGGCGCTCCCGCTGGTATTGGTATGAAGGCGGATGTTGCGACTTCAAGCTGCACCCGCTGTCTGCGTCCTGTCAAGTAGGCTTCGAGCCACTTGTGAGCCTTGCAATTGACACCGTAGTGGCTCAGCTTTTTCAGCAAGCCTTGATGCCATACACGATCAAAGGCTTTACTGAGTTGTCGTTGTTGTTGTTGTTGTTGTTGTTGTTGTTGTTGTTGTTGTTGTTGTTGTTGTTGTTGTTGTTGTTGTTGTTGTTGTTGTTGTTGTTGTTTTTGTTGTTGTTGTTGTTGTTGTTGTTGTTGTTGTTGTTGTTGTTGTTGTTGTTGTTGTTGTTGTTGTTGTTGTTGTTGTTGTTGTTGTTGTTGTTGTTGTTGTTGTTGTTGTTGTTGTTGTTGTTGTTGTTGTTGTTGTTGTTTGAATTCTTTATTCTCACGATGGCACCATCGCCAATAAGAGATAAATTTATGAGAAGGTGAGATTGTGGGTTAAACAGTTGGAAAGTGATTTACATCACTTTGAACTTTACAAGTATGGGAGAAGGTGAGCGCTGCAGGAGCAGATTGAGTTAATCAGCAGTGCGCAGATTTCTTGTTTGAAAGCAGGTCGGGAGGAGACGTCACGAATGCTAGCAGGGAGGGCATTGTAGTATTCTAGGTACTTGTACAGTGGGGAGTCTTTACAGCGACCGGTTCTGGAGCGTGGGAGGTGCCAAGTGCGTGCGTGTCGAAGGCTGTACTGGGCCGTAACTTGAGCGGGGGTGTTGAGCAAGCATATGTGTTGTGGGGCATATTGGTATTTCATGGAGTGAGCAAGAAGGGTGAACTTCACTTTGCGGCGAGAGAACATTGTCGGCCATTTGAGCCGATGGAGCAGTGTTGAATGATCGAGAGGAGTGTAGAGGGGGAGACGGAGGCAGATTCTGGCCGCCTTGCGCTGGATTTGCTCAAGACGGTCAAGGGCTGCGATTGAGAGCGGGGTGACAGCAATGCATGCATATTCAATTATAGGCAGGATATACGTTTTGTAAATGAGAGAGAGTGATTTAGTGTGTAGAGTTAATTTGAGCCTAAAGAGAATATTAAAAGATTGTATAGCTTTCTTTAGCACAAAGTCAAGGTGGGCTGACCATCTTAGGTCGTGCTGAAAGATGATGCCGAGGTGACGATTTTGTGTTACTGTTTCTAGTAGGGTTTGGCCAAGTTTTATTTCGGGCAGTCGTGGTGGGGGTCGGTTAGCATGGTAGAACGGGAGGATGACGGTTTTCGTTTTATTGACTAGCAGGTGCCAGCGCTCTAGCCATTCTGCTGCGGCATCGACGCTTCTTTGTAGCTGCCTGCAATGGCAATCAGTGCGGTGTCGTCCGCGAACTGGCTACACGAGGTTGTAGCATTTTCACAGGCAGTGGGCAGGTCAATGGTGTACGCCAGGAACAGAAGTGGTCCCAGGACCGAGCCCTGGAGCACTCCCGCTGGTATTGGTATGAAGGCGGATGTTGTGCCTTCAACCTGCACCCGCTGTCTGCGTCCTGTCAAGTAGGCTTCGAGCCAATTGTGAGCCTTGCCGTCGACACCGTAGTGGCTCAGCCTTTTCAGCAAGCCTTGATGCCATACACGATCAAAGGCTTTACTGAGATCGAAGAAACACGTGACAACATGCTTCCCCGCATCCCTAGCTGTGGATATCTGGTGGACGATCCGTGCGAGTTGCAGTTCGGTCCCGTCTTGTTTCCTGAAGCCGGATTGGTTGGAGGGTAAGTGCGGTGCTATGTGATTGTACAGACGAGAGTGGACTATTTTTTCTTGTGTTTTTGATATTATACTGAGCAGGGAGATGGGTCGGTAGTTGGTAGGATGGGAGGGGTTGCCCGACTTGGGGATGGGTGTAATAGTTGCGTCTTTCCAATCCTGTGGTATTTCTCCGGTTTTGAAGGACAGATTGTAGAGACTAGTGAGAGATGGGGAGATTTCCTTTGCAGTTTCTTTCAGGAGCCGAGTTGGGATGTTGTCAAAGCCTGGGCTCTTGCCAGTGTCTAGACTGCTTAGAAGCTTCTCGACCTCTTCCACTGTTGCTGCGATTGTATTTAGAGTATGACTGATGTCAGGGGTAGTGTTGATGTATGGTGTAGTTCAGGTGGTCTTGTCGATGGACTGTTGGCTTTGGGAGATAAAGAACTTGTTGAGAGCTGTTGCCTTCTCCATAGCCGTGGCTGCAGTGGAGTTGGCTGTCGATAGTGTGGGAATTGTTTGCTTAGGCGGTTTCTTCAGGTGCTTCAGTAGACGGTGGAGGTTTGTACCCGTTGACGTTGTTTGCTGGACAAAATCGGACTTAGCCTGTCGCAAAAGAGCGGTTACTCGGTTACGCTGAGCTGTGTACAGTTTCCAATCTGAGTCTAGTTGGGTCGCCTTGTAGGTGCGGAACTGTTTGTGCTTTGTTTTGATCTGGCTGAGGAGATCCTTCGTCATCCAGGGACGAGTGGCCGTAGAATTTTTGCGGGACTTGCTTCTGGTCACTTGGCAGTGGTGCACGGCTAGTTTCAGTATCTGGTCTCTCCAGAAGTTCCAGAATGAGGTTACTGGCTGAGGGTCAGTGGGATGTGGATTGTACTGCAGATTGCAGGTAGCAAGAGCTTCACGCAGGGACGCAATGCGTTCCTCGCTCCACAACCAGTATGTGCTGGAGGTGCTTTGCTGTGTAGTACTGCTCTCATTTTTATTATTATCGGTATTATTGTTTCTGTGGGTGGTGTGCTGCTGGGGTTGTAGGTTGCATTGTATGACAACATGATCAGAGGCACCAATAGGGGGCAGGCTTGTGATGGTGACGTTATGGCGGCTGAGGCTAGAGATGGCCAGGTCCAGGCACGATGTAGGTGTGTGTTGGCGTAGGTGGGTGGCAAAGGAGACGTGTTGTGTGAGGCCAAGAGTCTCGCACAGCCAATGCAGGTCCTCACCTAAGGCATCAGTGGTGTCGCTGGGGTGCCACAAGCAGTTCTTGGCGTTGAAGTCGCCAAGGTGAAGTATCTCATCCTGGGGTCTTTCAACTAGCTTTATGGCTCTCTCCAGTTCCATCACGAACTCTGCCGGGTCGGACCGCGGGGGACGGTAGATGTTCCCTACCACAAGGGAGGCTTGGCCGATTGTTATTTTAATCCAAATACATTCAGCTTGAGTCATGGGAATGGTAATTGTCTCGTGTTGGCAGCTGTGTGGTATGTATGTGGCGACTCCTCCACCAAAGGTGTCCCGGTCCGCTCTTATGAGTTAGTAGCCGTTGATGGCGTACATCCCGTCGCTGTCTGATGGATCCGCCCAGGTTTCCTGGATGGCGATTATTGACGGTTGTTGCAACTCTGCCACGTGGCTAAGCTCGTCCATCTTGTTGAACAGACACCTGACGTTCGAGCTGATGAAATTCGCGACTTCCATTTTTTATTTATTTATTTTTGTAATTTGTTTCGTTTTTTTGGCATTTCTGCAATTGAAAGTATTGTTCTCACTGATATTGTGTGGAGGACAGCCCTAGGATTGAGTATCCTGTGACACCAGTGCCAGTGGGCTCAAGCGTGAGCCCTGTGCTGGGGCAAGGGGTTGGCTTTGGCCAGGGTCGACGTTGTTGCTCTCTGCGTCTGCGACGTCCGGTGCAGAGTTTCCATTCTTCCTCCGCTGCATTGAGCTTCTGCAGGAGTTGTTCGGCGCGAAACCATGTCTCGGCTATTGCGAGAACGTGAATGCCTCGTGTTGAGATGAGCGTTTGAACTTCTGCTACCTTCCGCCGAACACTACACACATTCAGAAATCCCACACTGAGTGACTCGGTCGGGGAGGTAGGTGGTGCTGTGGGTGTTACATTATAGTTATAGTTCCTATCATGGGCGGCTCTATCACCCCAGTCATACAGACGGATCGACGATGGCATCAAGGAATCCATAAACAAAGCAGCACCACAAGGTCCTGATGCTGAAGGATCGCGTTCAAGCAATCGAGAAGTCACAACAAGGACAGTCGGTACGATTGATCGCATGAACAAATTTGAAGCCCAGCGCAAAATGAAACTTCCCCAGGGAACGTTTGACTCCTGGCTTCAGAAGTAGCAGCTGAATTTGAAGTCTGCAAAAAATTAATCTTCTCTCTCTGTCTCTCTGTCTCTCTCTGTCTTTCTCCATCTCTCCGTCTTTCTCTCCAAGTGTTGTTTGACCTGAAATAAGAATGACATTGCGCAAGTCCTGAGGAATTGTATTAGCTGCATTTTGACATACATATCATATAATGGGATCCACATATGGTCACGCGGTGCAAGCCTCTAACTAAAGACCATCTCCTACTAAAGACCGCTTTTGCTGGCACCAAGGGGTGGTCGGTAGTCACAGGTTTTACTGTAGCACATTTCCTTATGTCCAATGCACAGCCATCAAATGTACAGTACACAAGATTCAGAATGGAGAAAGAGAAGAAGCCACTTTGTCATACAACCAGACTGCCCGCTACACATGCTGGACAGGGTATGAAATGGACGGAATAGCAAATCCAATCTGCAACAACTCAGGCCGGCTCACATCTATTCCTACTTGCCGCCGTAAGTACACAGCGTGTAATGAAAATCAACATTTTTTGCGAATCGATCTTTTTTCAGCATCACTTTTCAACGAGGGCGATACAAAGTGGGCCGAATGAAACCCGGAGGAATAGAATCATGCTCTCCACTTCCCCATCATGACCATCATGATGATACTCATGGGCGTCACCGGACCCCTTCACAGGGGGGTGCACAGGAATTTTGCACAGGAACACACGAAAAAGTTCGCTGATAGTGAGCTGGCCAAACGCTTTCCTTTTTCGAGAAGACGACATTTTGAGAGGAAACAGCTCCAAAGACTCTATCAGGATTCCACCTGTACAAGGCCAAAGGATGCAGCGCTGCGCACACGTGCACGCGCGTAGTAGGCAAGTACTAAATTAGTAGCACTACAATCGGTCATGTATCTGCACTCGCTACATACCATGCACTCACGCGATCGCGGCGGACACGTACAACTAGTTTTTATATATTAGTGCATGCAGTTTATTAGTTGATTCTATCAGCACTACACTTTTCATAACCAGGAGTTCGCAAAAAACCAAGGTCGAATTTTTTAGTGGGGTGCACGTGGCCCCCGTGCCCATCACGGGTGACGCCCCTGATACTGATATTGTTAGGAAACGAAACAACTAAAAACTCCATAAGAAAACTGAGCACCTACCGCCCCTGTGACTTTGGTCTCAGAATTTAATGCTACGTTCCAAGTGTACGAGGAGCACCCAACGAAACAGCTATGTTGTGGTTCGCATTCAGCCCGCACACTACTCATACACAGTGTCACTGATACACACGGATCGGAGAGTTTAGAAATACATTGCATTGAAAGGGAGCAAGGAAGTACGGGTAAAACCAGAGAGGAAAGACATGCAGCACAGGAAGCCAAGATGGATGCAGGGAGAAGCACATTACACACATGCGCACACTCTAGATACAGAGAGTGCTGCATAGCAACAGCAACTACGCGCATGGTAACAGTAGCTAAGATAATCTGATAATGACGTCACACATAGCATGCATGTAATCTAGGACTGTGACGTTGCACATAACATGCATGCAATCCATAACACTGCCGTGACTTTGTCACTCTCTACTCCTTTTTCAAGGCAAGACGGTCATCTCTCCACTTTCAAACCGGAAACCTCGAGCCACACTTTTTTATTCTATCGCCATCATAATATTATTGGTTTGCGATGTAAAATAAAACTTCAAGCAAACAAATAGGACATACAAATGGTCCTTTCCAGCTGCTGCACGAGCACAGGTATTGCATACCGAGGGCTACAGAGCAGCATTCATTTGTTAGGTGCCTAACATGTATGGTGTTATGGAACATTAGTTTGTTCTCTTCAGAAATTTTTCAAGAGTACCAGTATTATTTGACTTATGGAGGCATTTTAGAGAGCACATGTGAGCGTTTTGACAGATCCTATGTATAGGATATGAGTATTCTGCATTATCCAGAGTGTTGTAATGTTGTAATGTATCCAGATGATGATATAACTGGCAGGGGATGCAATAAAGAAGGGCTCGGCATGCTGAATACGTACAAATATGCCATGAGTACATGTCTGTGATTGATTGAGGAGTGCTGCCGGAGGTTGGCACATCTAGTGCTTTTAACCGTATTACGGCGGAAGTTTCAACCAGAGTATTGCCCGATCAGCTAACCTTTTCTCTCCCAATTCCGGTGATGGCCCCTGACCAAAATTTTGATTTTAAAAGATATAAGTAATTTGCAGGGAACAGACCACATCGGTGTGTGGGTTATCGTTCTCAGGGCACAATGGAGTGGCTTTTGAAGAGGATGACAGTAACTCTCTTGTGCTTGCTATGTCTGAACAAAACAATTCCATAGAGGAAACTCCAAACTGTCCTGAGAGCCGAAGACTTTGAAATCCATACTGGGCTTTCAGACTGCTGATGCTTTGGTTTGACCATTTCCGACTATTTTCGGCCTGATCATATTTGGCCGAAAATATGTTGCAGCCTAAATTTTGTTTTGCAAGGTTCAGTGTGACAGTGTATACAGGCAGCCGCAGTATAGACCAAAAATGTGTTGCAACTGAAATGTGTTTTAGCCCTGGGAGGCAGAAATTTGAATGGGTCGAAAATTTTATAGACTTACAGTATCTGGTGATGGATATTGTGAGTTTGGTTTTGTCTCCAAGTCAAGTATGTGAATGCTCTGCGTGTGCTCCGCATTCAAATGTGGTGGTAGTTAACTGATGTCTATATTTACCATGTACAGCCTTCAAGTGCATCGCTCCTCGCGTTCCTAAAGCAGCGGTCTTCCCAGCCGAAGTATTGTACCTCGAAGCTGTTCACTATGAATGCGACACTGGGTGGCTGCTCATCGGAGATCCCAAGCCAACATGCACAGCATCTAGGAACTTCAGTTCTGTGCCCACCTGTTCAAGTACGTACATACTAATTATAGGATGTTTTTTTCTGACCTTAGTGCATCACCATGTCCTCTGTGTGTCCATGCTTCCATGTTTTAATGTTAATACTCACACACCAATATCCAGGAACAACAGTCTATTCATAAAAAGATAGGCCCAGGCTCTGGCGAGCTCCCGTTTTTGGTAATTTATCGTTCATGGTGCAGAGCCTCAGAATTTGAAACTTGAAATTTTGGAACTTGAAAGAGAGTCCATAAAGAGAACACCAACTGCTGTCAGAACTGCGCAATGTACAGTTGCAAGTAGAGTGAAACGGCATGGATTTCCCCAATTCTGTAATTTTGGATCAAAACCTGACCGAAATCCTGTTCATGTTAGACCAACCAGAATTGAAATTTGTTGTTTCTAGTCAACTGACAGGCCGTTTTTGTTTTGTCCGACCGCAATTTGTTTGTGCTTGCAAATGTACATGACTAGACAACTGACTGTAGTGTAGACTCTGTTGCTATGTACACATGCAAACGCTACCCTGATGATATTAGCAATGATCTTAGCCCTGCGCACGAAAAACGCAAGCAGCAAGGAATGTTTCCAAAAGGATACCAGCCGTAGGCTTCAAACATTCTGACATCGCAATTTCTATTCCAGAGAGCATTGTTCAGAGAAACAACGGACCAATAGAACGGTGCTGTAACAATGCCACCGGTGTGTGTGCTCGTGTCGTATGGAACACGACTGGAGGGCCTTCATGGGATAATGCAGTTGCGTGATGTTCACCACTTTCTTAGTACGGCAGACAGTATCCTATTGAAACTCGGGTATTGAGCCAATAATAAAAGTAGAAAGGAAAAGGACATATGGAAACGAGTTAAGAGTCCTTTCTACTAGTATCCTATTGGTTTTTTTTTTGTGTTGAAAGGATCTCACTGGGTACTCGTTAGCTGGCTCGCCAGAAACTCGGCTCGCTTGTGCGGCGAGCTCGTTTGCACTCATGAGCCCCGCAGATGATACAGCCTGCATATTACAGTAGAGTCAGTGCATATAGTGAATCTCCGTTCCCGCGACAGTCGTGCGTAGTCGTTTTGGAAGTTTGGTTCCACGCGGTGCAGCGAAGAACAGGGCTGCTTGCAATCGGTCTTTTCTTACAATGGCGGCTTAACGAAGGTGCAGAAAGGACACCTTGACACCAAATGCCTGTCGGAAGTGAAGTCAGTCGAAAGCAGCAGCAACTCCAGCGCTGGCGGTGAAATTCAAAGCAGTTGAAAAAAATCATCTTTGCCACATTAGTAAAACTCGATGACTTGCTCGCTCATTAGTGGAACTGTTTGCTTGTTTGTTATAGATACGCTTGTTTCAACACTATATTTTTAGAACGCAGAAAGAAATGTAAAAGATGGGCAAAATAGAAAGATTTCACCTGCCAACGAACACTGGTAGAATTGAATGGTGCCCTTTCCTGAAACCAAGACATGCATCATAGCCAGCAATCGCATGTCACCACGTACATTGAAAATCAACATAATTTTGCGAATCGACCTTTTTTTCAGGATCACTTTTCAACGAGGACGAAGCAAAGTCGGCCGAACGAAGCCTAGAGGAAGAAAATCACCCTCTCCACTTCACCATCACGATGCTGACATAGATACGAGATGAAACAACTGAAAAATCCACAAGAAAACTGTACGACCACTCACATGTATAACAAATAGTACAATCAACTGTGCGTATAACGACACTCGGCCGGGCATCAGAAAAGCCGGTCCTTATTCGCGAAGTGTCATTACACCCGAAGTCTCCTTATATGCATACAGGCAGAATGGACTTTGCTCTGGGCATGGAAATTCTGTCGTTATTCGCGAATTGTCGTCATATCCGCAGTCGTTATTATATAAGCAAGTTTGACTGTATGACAATTTGTATTGATTGCATAGGATTCTGCTCGTACTTTTGTACCGACTACTTGGGTCATGCAATGCGCGCACAGTACTGTGAAAGAAATGGCGAAGTGACCATGAACAACGCGATAATTACCATTAAATAAAAGGGGGTTTGTCAACTGACAACCGCTCTATTCAGTCGCTATTCACTCTTCGCGCATGCGCTGGATGAAAATTCTTTTATTGGTGATGTCGAAAAATTATTGATGTTTCGGGCCAGTCACCCACCATAGGAACCAGAATCTTCCGTTTGGAACCCCCCTGTTATTTACAATGCAATTGCGCGATGTGAATGAACGAGAGAGCTTGGAAGCCCATGGCCCTACGCTATGCTTTTTTACCGAGCGAGAGTCAATTTGCGGCGTGCAAAACTCGCATTTTCAAGAATTGTGCCTGTTCACGACGAGAAACTTTTGCGATTTTATCTCTTCATTTGGATCTTGTACTGTCTACAGTCAATGTACAGAGCAGTTTGCGACGATTTGTATTCGCGAATGTGTGATGGTCGCGAAGATAGCGAAATATGATCTCTAGCGAAAATTTTCTCTGTCCAGTAGGCAAAAAATGCATCGGGATGTTATAAATTTTCATTTCTCCCATTTTTTAAGACAAAACCTAGGATTCGAACCCGCACTATCGCCCTGCATTCATTCCCCGATACACTTCGCATACATACTCATTCTTCCAAGGTGTTTCACGTTATGATCTTGCATTTGAAATCCCTATTTGAATAGTGTGGCCAGCTGTCTTTGATAGTACAGTACGGGACAGGTATGGGATAGCACCAGGCATGCCGATGCTGTCCTTGATGGTACGGTACGGGACAGGTACGGGATAGCACCAGGCATGCCGATGGCACAAACAAACAAACAAACAAACATGGAATTGAAGCTGTGTGGACCCTGGCTTGCGCCAGACATTGCTGAAGTAACGTCTTTTGCATAGCGACAGGAATATTGCATTCATAAATACAGCAACCTTATCATGTCTCATGCGCCTGTTTTCATGGTCCAGATCTTTTCTTTACTGTACTTGCATTTAAATGAACGGCTTATCTAAGACTTTGTCGTTTGTTTACCTCCATATTCATCCCTGTATATGCATTACCGTTGTACTACTGGTCTAGAGCGATCAGACATCTTTCTTAATGCCTGTTGTGCAGTCATTGTTCCATGGCAGGTAATCATTTACTGAAAGCTCTCATAGCTGTGCTCTAGGGATATGCTTATAGTATCGCGTTGTTCTGCTTGCACACAACCTGCAATCTTATAGTTCAGCTCGTAATTGGACACTGAGACTCCAGATGAGGAAGAACGCTTATGCAAAATTGCTGAATTTGAAGTATCACGTTTTTTGATTTTTGCAAATGCTGTATCTCCGCCTCAATTTTCCCTCTAGTCGTTAAATGCCTAGTGCCATCAATCCTTAATGGCTGGAGCGAAGAAAAAGAGGTGAATTACCAAAAACCGGTGATTTACAAATGCAATCCAGGATACACATTGGTTTATGGCACCATTCCACCACACTGCAATGCTTATGGCAACCTCAACAGTACCGGTAATATCACCTGCGAGCGTAAGTTCCAACGAGCACATGCTCCTGTATGCCCATTGATTCCTGAACTTGCGCAGGAGTATTTAAGAAGAACTGCAGTAAGCTCCGCAGGATCAGAGAATGGACCTCACCCTCATCGACACACATTGACATATGATGCCAGTATGCTAAAACAACCCTATTCATGTCATGAACTACAGTGACTGGCCTTTCCGGCACCGGTCTAAACCAATGATAGTATTGTCCCTCTGGAGTTTGCCACCATGCATCATGCATCACTTGCCTGTTAAGCCTAACTATACTTGCACAAATGCATGTTTGCAAATGACCTCAACTCTGTTGGATTCATTGCAGCAACAGCAAATTCCTCGTTTGCATCTTTACAAGGAAATGCTGTTTGTTTTGATGTTTGCCACATTGCAGGAGATCATGGATTTAATCGGAGTCAACCCTGCTCAAACACACGTACAATTCTCCAAATCTCAAAACAAAAGTACAATTTCTTTAGCGCCGATGCCCTTTGCCGTAAGCATAATGGATGGCTTTTGAATAGGAAGACGCTTACCAGTAGCTGCGCATCTACTTTGCTCCAAGACGACGTGGAAGTCTGGCTGTCCGGAACCATTAAAGGTATTTCCAGGGCTAGGCCGACAAACCAAGGCCACGACTGGGACTTCAAACTAAAGCATGTCGTATGTGAAATGCGTAAGTAATTTTTGCAATTCTAACATGAGAAGAAAAGAGGATCGAAAGCTGCAAGTTACGCCAGAATATCCACTAGCACCACCAGTTACTGTGCAATCAGCTCGTGCGATAACATTGCACGACACTTGTAACTTGCGTAGCCTGTAGCTTTTGGCCCTCTTTCGTTATGATAAATTAATCCTTGGCTCTCCACCTGAGACTGATCATTTCTGTAAGTTTGTAATTATTAATAAACTGTTGAGCGGTACCTTTCGGCTGTTGAATAACACAAGAAACTAACTCTCCTCCTCCATGCGCTCCAAACCGACCATTGCTACCCTCGGTAGCCATTACTCACACCAATAACTTCAAACAACGAAGGGGTCACGGGTAAACCATTTCCTTCTGACAGCTGTTTCGCCTATATTTGATAGGCGAAACAGCTGTCAGAAGGAAATGTTTCACCCGTGACCCTTCGTTGTTTGAAGTTATTGCATACCTGCCAAGTATTCAGATTTTTTCGGGATTATCCCGCAATTTTGGATGAACTCCCGCGATCCCGAAATTCCTGTCGATTATCCCGAAATTCCTGTCGATTATCCCGAAATTCCTGTCGATTATCCCGAAATTCCTGTCGATTATCCCGAAATTCCTGTCGATTATCCCGAAATTCACTGTACAAGAAACAATCTTGATATTGTACTTGGAGCACTTCAAATGACTTGTCACAGGCCAGTAGTTGTCCTTATTGATTCCAGACCGCCATAGCCTGCAGTACCAGTGGATCTACTAGTGCTCCTTCCATGAGCAGTCTCTAAAAAACCTCCGTTTTTGAGTCTTGAACATGTGTCAGTGTGATCCGATGATCACGATCAATCGAAATGTTGGTGCCAGCAAAAGTTGAAAAAGGATTTGTTGGTGAAATATGACATATCCCGAAAAACCAAGGCAAATCCCGGGATTTTGCCATGGCGATCCAGAAAAAGCACTGTCAGTACTTGGCAGGTATGTTATTGGTGTGAGTACTGGCAACCGAGGGTAGCAATGGTCGGTTTAGAGCGCATGGAGGAACCGAGGGTAGCAATGGTCGGTTTAGAGCGCATGGAGGAACCGAGGGTAGCAATGGTCGGTTTAGAGCGCATGGAGGAACCGAGGGTAGCAATGGTCGGTTTAGAGCGCAT